TGGCAGAGTCTTAACTTTGATAAAGAATATCTCTTTGGTTTTGAGACTTTAGTCTTTGCAACTTCAGGGATCTTATCTATGCACAATCAGCTTGTAACACTCCAAAGAGAAAGGAAAACTTGAAATCGCATCATATGACCCCTTTAACTGTTTGTGTTACTTCTCCTTTTCCCTTTCATTCAGGGGATGTATTTTGCAAGGCAAAGCAGAAGTTAGAGGTTAAATGTTTTGAAAAAGATTTCTTCCCAGTTTCACGGGATCAGCACGGAGGGAAATGTCCTTTTCCCTTTTATTATACAGCACTGAATGGAAATCCCTGAGTTAAAGCAGCATATTATTTGCTGTGTCATTTTCCTGGCAGCTGGTGTTTCACTGTAAATCCACTGCTGTACATGTTTAAACATGGACGTGAGTCCATATAAATCTCTGATGGAGTGTTTAAACTCTGCAGTAATCTGTTTGAGAAGGATGTGGGCCGCCAAAGAGACAGACAGGCGGCTTAATCCGAATGAATGATGACTAGGAATGTGTTGCTTTTTAACATTCATGCAAGTTTTAGCAATTTGATACAAATTAATGTTTTTAAATAACCTGAGAACACATGTACAGGTCAAACTCTGCATGCATAAACTTGCATACTTGCCCTCCCATTTTTATTAATAATTTTATCTACCAATGATGTATTCAATTAAAAGACATTTATGTTACAAAAGATCTCCATTTCAAATAAATGCTGTTCATTTGAACTTTCTATTTAAAATGTATCATGAAGTTGTTTTGTGACAAAACACTTTTTTTTCAAAATTGTAAAATTGACTGTAAAAATTGGACAATATTTAGGACTATTAAGGACTATTTAGTACTACAAAGTTTTTTTTTTCATTCTAAACATCCTGCTATAAATAATTATGAAATGTAACTTATATCTGATGAAATACAAAGAGTGTTTATGATTAAATGTTATGTTTGTTAACCAGCATAGTTTGTGGCAGCTCTTTTTAAAGTTTCCTTCTGGCTTTGGGTCGCTCTTTTCATCTGCCTGACCATCTTTTGCTTTGTGGGACAGTAATTGTAGTGAAGTGGTTGTTTTATGGTGTGCTGAGGGTTTGACTTCAGTGTTTGTTGGTTGAAAGGACGTTGTACCACAGGAGGGGTCCATCTGTGGACAAATGCATTATGCAAATGGAAATGATGAGAAAGGTATCGCTCATAGATACTACCATGGACATTTGAGACATATGGACACACCCAGAACAGATACCCTTCAGCTTCATGAAACAGGTTAGCATTAGCTGTGGTGTCACTGTGACACTGGGCTCACAGCCAAACATGAGGACACTGGGTGTGTGTGTGTGTCTGCACACGTCTGCATGTGTGCTTACTTGTT